ACGTGTTAATCCCCGAGAGAGAGGGCCGACATGGGTCACGGCAAAACAGCCCCCACTCCAGCATACACCCACCTCCCTGCTCCCCACGTCCCTCTCTCTCTCTCTCTCTCTCTCTGGTGCCCTCACACACACACACGGACACACAGGTCCAGTGTGTCTTCACAGAGAGGAAACGAACGCTCTCCGCTTCAACTGAAACAAAAACACTCCGAGACTCCCACCCAGCAATGCAGTCCCTCTGCCCTCACAGGAAAGAGGCCGGCGCAGTCAGACTGGGATCACTTTGTACGTTCATGCACTGAACACATATCCGTGGATGCACAGGCATACGTGTTCTGTGCATGAACACGCACGCACACGCGAGGACCGGCCAACGGTACAGGAAACAGGTCAGCTACGGTGCAGGTATCCTTTACATCCTCTCTTGGCTCCCACTGTCAACTGATGAAAGGGAACACCCCCATCTCGGCAACACTGGCCCCGCGCAGAGCAGCTCATAAAAGGCCATTTCCTTCGTAATCATCCCTGCCTTCCCCGGCTCTAATCTCTGAAAGGATGGTGGCAATTAGACCGGGGAAGGCCTCGCTGTAGCCGGGGCATCTGTGGCATCTCTATTACCTCATCGCCAGCCACGGGAAACATAATAGAGAATACAGCACAGAGTTGTGGGTTGAGAGTTGTGGCCCGTGGGTCGCCCTGGCTCCAGTGAGACTGCAAATATTTCACCCTTAATAATTTAAATGTTTGGTTAAGTGTATTTTTAAGCCTCTTCTCTCGTCACCTTATTGTTTAGCTGCTGGTAATCCACAACAGGATCATTATCCAGGGCCCATTTGTCATGTATACTTTCAAACATGCACATTCAGAGCCTGGATGTGGTTTTAAAGCTTTGTCAACAGTTCTTTTTGACTGGATCTCTTTGGTTTGTTGACATAGCAGCGCGGATTTCCTATTGTGAGGGATTCATGTCAACTCTTAGGGTTTTGGAGGGCACCCTGGTGCAACAGGTGTGTGAGTTTGAAGACGCCCAAACATCCCGATGATGTTCAAATCCAACATCATTCGTCATTTACTCTCAAATTCGTAGTCATTCTCTTAAGATTAGACACACTGGATGAGACCTGGTATTCAGCAGGCGCGGTTCCACGCTCTTCACACAATGTGCTCTTTGATTCCTTATTTGTCTTGTTCGGTAAATACGAGATCAGACTGCAGCATGCATGTGTGCAAGCCACAAAATAGTTGTTTTAGAGATAGCAGGGCTGTTTAAAGGATTATCCTGTTCACAAGTCATTACCAGGGCTTGATAAGAGTTTGTCACGCTGCGTTAATGCTCCAAAGATCCCGTTGTTCCCCTATGCTGTTCGCGTCTAGTGCCTTGTCTCAACTTCGGGATTTCTTCAATGGTGGCACTGTGGTGTTGTGGTTAAATGAGGCCGCGGTCTGCTGACTAGCATGACATTCCCCTAAATGGAATCAGATAAAGCTGTGCATTTTCAACACAAACATCACCTGAGGCCCTCGGCATGGACCCCGGCACTGCTGGGCAGCCAACCACAGTCTGCAGGCGTCAAGGTAAAAGGGAGCTGAACCAATGAGAGAGATTTCATATCCAGGAGGGGGAAATGATGTCTAACCAATCAGAGGAGTGAACGGCCGCAGATATCAGATGTAACCAGGCCTCTGGGGGCTTGTGAGGCAAGCCGATACCCCGAGATGTGGGTGGGGATAATTGATGTGGGGGGTATGAGTGATTGCAGGAGTGAAACTGATATGGCCCTCATCGTGTGGCTCGGGTTTCCTGTGCAGCCGACCGGGATCCAGGAACTGTAAATGGCGGCGAAACTGCAGTGGGACGCACCCTAAAGAAAAGATCTGAGTCAATTTAACGCAACGACTGTTTTTAACAGTAGCTCGAAAAGACACTGATGAGACGGCTGAGATTTAAAGCGAGCAGAAAAAGTAAATGTAGAATCCACTCGGGCACAAATGTTCTCACTACCAGAGGTGTTGTGCCAAAAAAGAAGAAAAAAAAAAAAAAAACATCTGGGAAGGGTGTTAAGAAAACAGAGATGAGGTGAGATAATTACAGAGAAGTTGAGCGATGAACTGAGGGGGAACCCTGAGAGAGGAGTGGAAAAACAAACGAAGAAATCTCAGCTTAAAGGAGGAAAAAAAAAAAAAA